TAAAAATTAAAAAAAAAAACCTGTTCTTTATTTGTTCGAATTTTATAGGTACTATCAAAATTTACAGACATATATAAGTAAAGTGATATATTGGCGTGAAAATTAAAGATGATATGATGGTCATATAACATCCAACTTTGTTTTATGTAAAAATACTTGACTTACTTATTACTATCTCATTGTTCTTCTTCATTAGCCAGTCATAAATTACAAGACATTTCAAGGGTACACAATATGTAATACTGTTGTGGCAATACCTAAATAAATGAACACAATAGTTTTTCAGTATGATTTTCACAGAACTTTTGTGAAATGGAAAACTAACGCTTAATATCATTTTAAAAATAAGATTTTTTTACACAGAATATACTGACTTGTCCATATGTGCTTAGCAAAAAGTATAGTACATATTTTATCTTGATACGGTCTTAGTGTTTATGTGCTTCTTATTTTTTCAGTTTACCAAAATTATGAAAAAAAAAAAAAAAATAAATAAATAAAAATTCAAATAAGAATTTAAAAAAGTACCTTTTAGACTTAAAAAAACAACAACATAAATTCGCAATAATTTTGTACTTTGCAAAATACCCAACAGTATTTTTGTTCGGGGTAATAAAATAAATAACACATGGGTTTGTGAGTAACAGTAAAAATATTATCCCTCGTAAAAATACTGTTACCCACGGCTACGCCTCGGGTAACAGTATTTTCCTCGGGATGATATTTTTACTGTTACCAACAAACCCATGTGTTATTTATATATTATTCTTGTAAAATGCCCCAAATACCTTTGTTTATAGGTCACATTTTATCCAACTCAAGACTGTTGTAGATTTTTATCATTTGCTGTTACATGATATTTATTCTAGATAAAGATAAAATGAATTCAAATCTTTAGTAAATAGTGTTTGCTTATTCCTGAGAACTACAAGTTGTGTTTCAAAATTTAGAGGCGTTGTGGTATTGTGGCAGATTTTGATTGTTTATTAAACAATTTTATTTTTTATTCCATAAAGTTATTTCTCTCTAAATTTCAACTGATGATAATGTTTTTTTCCAGATGCTGTATAGGCCATAACATAATGAGTGTAAATTTGGCCCTCTAAAAGTTTGGGTAATTTCAAGATTAACGATTTTATGTTACGCTTTCATGTCTTTTCTTATTTATTGATAATGCTTTCTTTAATAATGGATCAGTTTGAAAATATCCTTATATTCTCTGTATTCTACCATGAGATGTTTCGACAGCTTAAATCAGTCAGATGTTTTGCCAATCTCATTGCTTGTGTTCACGGATAATTAGATAGCTTTTATCTTTCAAAGGGCAAAGTCACTTCCACCTCTTTCATAAAGTAATTCAAACTTTCTTTCCTTACGTTAAAATTCTATAATTTTGTTTTGTTTTGTATTTTTTGTATAGATTTTCAGTATATTACTCCTAGATTTAGTTTCAGCATGGCCAATAAGTTATTTAGTTTATAAGTATTTTAACAATTAAAACAAAATTGGACTTTAAATTTATGTTGCGTTAATTCATGTAGTTGGTAGGTGAAACATGGCCGTGGAAGGCTAAAAAAGTATTTATACAGACTGAGTAATGAAGTACGTAAAAGGAAAAACTGTAACGTATTCTTAAAAATACGTGTCATCTTTCATGTGTTATTAACTAGTTGCGGAGCGAAGTAGCAATGACACATTATGCATTTTTGAATAATCTTAAAGTCTAGCATATGCCAATAATTAATTAAACTGACTACTGTTCGTGTTTGTATTCTACACAAAATATGTCCAGTTACACAATTACTCATACCCTTTATTCAAACGCAGGAAAGAAAAATAAGGGAAGCGCCTCTGTTTGTCCTGACAGATGCGCCGAATATGTATTAAGTGAAGTGGCTACATTTGACAAAATGAATTAAGGGATTTAGCGTATAACACAGACGCTAATAGAAAAGAGGCAACAGATGCTTTAAAGGCACAGTATACGTCAGAAACCAGTAAATGTTTACATCTTTAGAAAGTGCAAATATGAATTTTATAATTTTAATTGGTAGTTTAAGAGAAATGTAAGATGATTGTTTCCTGAAAAAAGTATAAAGTGAAATAATTTGTCATAAAAGTAGAACACTGTAAACAAAGTAGTATTTGACTTCGAAACAAATGCTTATTCAATATAACTGTGCTTATTATCAAAACAGATGAAAGAATGGTTCCGGTAATTGGCAAATAAGTAACGTTTTGGATACAATCAAAGTCCTACTAACATAAAAAACAATGGTCAACAATTCAAAAAGGTCAAGTATTTAAAGGTCAATGTTTAAATTTGGATTGCTCAAATATGGTATGAATATAATACATCCATTAATAACAAACCATCACTATAAGCACATTTGAGCAAAATTTATGCAATTAATTCTAAAGGTAAATATCATTTATGAGTCAAGATAAATGCCTTACAATCTGTACAAGTAAACATCATTATTCCCTTCAAGTGTTGTAAAACGGTTGTGCAGATGATGAAGAATAAGAATAAGAACACTCAGTCAGCCAGATAAAACAGGTTGCCAGACTGACAGGAAGCCTCAAACTAGTATATCCCTTAATAATGGTCATTGTATGAGGCAAGCGGTAAAAGATAGGGGATCGCCACCTGCTGTCCTAAATTTATATTACCGTTTTCTGTCAATAATGTTGTACTTCATAAGCTCTGATCAAATCACAAATGTGTTAAGAATTATTGCACAGCTATATATCCATTACGGTTTTCCTCTAGTGCTCGTTTTGCTCTAACAATCGAATACGCACTCAAAATTGCTAATGATGTTGACACTAGTGGTAGATAGAACGCGGCACCGCGAGTAACCAGTGAATTTGAACTATTAACCCCGTATACAATCATCGCCGTTAGGAGAAGAATACCTGCAAATGAAACAGCAGTAATTTAGAAAACAAAACAAGTGGACCAATTGGATACAAAGCGATCATCCGGGGACAGACCGTTACTTTTGAAGCTTGTATTTATTACAAGAATTTGAACAATGTCGGTCATAAAAGAGTGATGATAAAAACTATTAATGAATATTATAAATACAATTTAATACACTAAGAAAGTTAATCAGTAAATATCACTTACATCCTACAATAAGTAGAACGATACAAACTATGGCTGAGCGTATACTTATATGTTGAACACATCCAAACCGGATAGCCAGTAATAGACACATGGCATGTAAGATGATGCTTGATATCATTAAACCTCTCGTCGCTAGTACAAACTTAGGAACTGAAACCAAAACAACAACGAAACAACTCTTTACCTTTTTTGCAAAATGAAAATAACAGATTTTTTTTCTGATAATATGAATGAAGTTAAAGATACTGCTATCAATAAAAATGAAAACGTTAAGTCTGAATAATCCCACACATGTGTCAATTCGTTTGCATTTTTTTTTCAATACAGTTTAACTTGTTAGAAATGTCACACGGTGCATTGATCGCATCACCAACATATCAAAATCTCAAGAGGAAGCCTAATAAGTAAATTACAGACTAATTTGATTTTTTAGAACCTTACCATGGTCATGGATAATACGGTCCATATCAGAAAACGAGACGCATTCTCTCATATCTGGGTCATCGATACACATTTCCCACAGTCCCTCGTGAAAACGAAAATCATCATTGCCAATAACCCAATACGGTATTGATGTGCTTATGATACTTGAGATTAAGATACACAATATAGAACCTATACTAAAATTTCTTGCCATTGACATGTTTGATCTGAAATGAAACATCTGATCGGAATAAAAAAAAAGACTGTAGGAAGTTGTTTTTTACCCCGCAAAATCAATTATCTGAAAAAAATGTCATGTTCTCTTTATAGTAATCAAAACAGTTACAAAAATAAGAATATATACATGTATTCGTTTTGTTTCATCATCATCATCATCATCATCGGCAGCAGCAGCATCATATCATCATCAGAATCATCATCATTATTGTTGTTGTTGGTGGTGGTGGTGGTGTTGTTGGTGGTGGTGGTGGTGATGGTGGTGGTGGTGTTGCTGTTGTTGTTGTTGTTGTTGTTCATTTTTCATATATTTTTGTACATATATGTTATAATGTTTTATCCTATTAATAATGTTGCTTTTATAATAACTAAAATCATCATATACGTATAGAATTACGTTATAAGATAGTGTTCAGAGTGTTTCATGTTGTATTTTTTTTCATCATCAACAAAAGCATGGCATCAGATATAATACTGAAATGTGCATAATGTATAACTTAATTCAGATATTACACAATAACTTGATACACATTTTAAAACTACTGTAATATCAATTATTACTAATATTATTATATAAAAATTCATACCTTGTTAACGTACTATAAAACCATAATGTTAATCTATCTTATATATCAGTTACATGTTATCTTTTTTACGTAATATCAGTGAAGATTATATATTATCTCTGCGGATATACATGCATTATGATAGATGAGAGGACTGAGAGATTGTAAAATTGTAAGCCTCAGTTTATAGTTGGACAGGTTTTTGCATTATTTGTCAACATAATGTCCTTCATTTTTTAACAGATTTGCCAGCGATGTTTACGGACTTCAATACTACATTCAAGGTCATTTTAAGTACCGTTTAGAAATACCAGTCCCTAGCTCTTATTGAAAAGACCTTTGGTTCTTTTACATGCCAAGTGTATAGCACTGATATATGCAAGGATTACCTGGTTTTCTAACCAGTATACACCGAACGTGTCTCTAAATTACTAACACTGCAATGAAAATGCAAATAAAGTGCAACATCTTATAAATCTACAATTTTAATAATTTAGTAAAGGTCGCTTTAATATAAGACTGAGACATACATTCTTAGCTACTTATTCGTTCTTAAAAATACATCATTAAATGAGAGAGGAAGCCTAATACACACATTCAAATGTTATAGCAGTCGATTTGACATTTAATTCGGAAAAAAAGATTGTAACCTCCAGACAAGGAAAACTTCAAGAGTTTTTTAAACCCTATTAAGCTGAACATAATTATGGACATATTGCCCCATTCGAATTAACGTTATTACTACAAATTAAAACGCCTAAAAGATGTTAATGATACACCGAACTCGTTTTACAACGAAAACATAATACCATGAAATGAATATTTATGCAGCCTTCAAGTTTATGAAATGGATGGAGTGAATGTATATTTAGAATTGATACAGAAATGAACAAGAAGTAAGTGGACTTAAAATTTCAATGAAAGTCGCAAGCTATCAAAAAAAAAAGTTTCAACACCATAGTGTTAACAATGAAATACAAGTACACACAAACACACACTGACCATTCATAAAAAATATTAAGTTAAACTTAAAACACTGACAATATTAACATCCAGTAATAATTACAGTATTCATGCAGTATGTGGAGGTGCTTGTTAATTTGATTTTATACCGTCACAATTAAAAATCTGCAGAAAGTACAGTGTCCTATTTCGTCCTCAAAATGTCGCTGGTAAACACGCTATAAATATCGCCTTCTCTATTGACCAGGGACACTTATATAAGCGAAATTTAACAATTTCGCCGCGATGATTATCGTTTTAATTTTTTATGTTGTGTGTTCCTCTGAAAGCGATTATTATCGCGTTGAAGGGTGCTTATTATCGTATGAGAGACCAGCGAAATTTAATACATGTGACATTTATCCTAAATTTTGCTCTTTAGGGGCAAAAGTTAACGCGTGTTTAAATTTCGCTAGTCTTTCATGCGATAATAACGCGTTTTAACTGTTAAAAGTTTACATTGTGAGACTGTATTATCTGATCAATACTTGAGTTGGACGCTCTTTTTTGCTTTTAAGAGGGCAGATCTAATAATTTATTTGTTCAACAAAAGACAAACATTACGCATCACTTCCTATGCAGTATAAAGAAAACATTAAACACAAATGCCACGCAAAATTCATTAAGATGCATTGTCCTACAAGGACAAATCCATTGTCCACGAGTAATCAATAACGGATATGTCTTTGAAGCGGGTGAACATCCGCTTTATATAACTGATCTCGGTGCGGTGTGACCAGTAATGTGTCCGTGTCGCCGTTAAACCCAAAGAAAACAAACTAAACCTAATCTATCTCTACCTGTCTTCAACATTGAAAGTCATTTTTTGTTACGCTCTTTGGCCGATTCGGTTAAATATGATACATGTTACGCAGGACTTTCTATTCAGAACTTTCTAAACGGTACTTAAAATGACCTTGAATGTAGTATTGAAGTCCGTAAACATCGCTGGCAAATCTGTTAAAAAATGAAGGACATTATGTTGACAAATAATGCAAAAACCTGTCCAACTATAAACTGAGGCTTACAATTTTACAATCTCTCAGTCCTCTCATCTATCATAATGCATGTATATCCGCAGAGATAATATATAATCTTCACTGATATTACGTAAAAAAGATAACATGTAACTGATATATAAGATAGATTAACATTATGGTTTTATAGTACGTTAACAAGGTATGAATTTTTATATAATAATATTAGTAATAATTGATATTACAGTAGTTTTAAAATGTGTATCAAGTTATTGTGTAATATCTGAATTAAGTTATACATTATGCACATTTCAGTATTATATCTGATGCCATGCTTTTGTTTGATGATGAAAAAAAATACAAACATGAAACACTCTGAACACTATCTTATAACGTAAATTCTATACGTATATGATGATTTTAGTTATTATAAAAGCAACATTATTAATAGGATAAAACATTATAACATATATGTACAAAAATATATGAAAAATGAACAACAACAACAACAAAAACAGCAACACCACCACCACCATCACCACCAACAACACCACCACCACCACCAACAACAACAATAATGATGATGATTCTGATGATGATATGATGCTGCTGCTGCCGATGATGATGATGATGATGATGAAACAAAACGAATACATGTATATATTCTTATTTTTGTAACTGTTTTGATTACTATAAAGAGAACATGACATTTTTTTCAGATAATTGATTTTGCGGGGTAAAAAAACAACTTCCTACAGTCTTTTTTTTTATTCCGATCAGATGTTTCATTTCAGATCAAACATGTCAATGGCAAGAAATTTTAGTATAGGTTCTATATATGTGTATCTTAATCTCAAGTATCATAAGCACATCAATACCGTATTGGGTTATTGGCAATGATGATTTTCGTTTTCACGAGGACTGTGGGAAATGTGTATCGATGACCCAGATATGAGAGAATGCGTCTCGTTTTCTGATATGGACCGTATTATCCATGACCATGGTAAGGTTTCTAAAAAATCAAATTAGTCTGTAATTTACTTATTAGGCTTCCTCTTGAGATTTTGATATGTTGGTGATGCGATCAAATGCACCGTGTGAAATTTCTAACAAGTTAAACTGTATTGAAAAAAAAATGCAAACGAATTGACACATGTGTGGGATTATTCAGACTTAACGTTTTCATTTTTATTGATAGCAGTATCTTTAACTTCATTCATATTATCAGAAAAAAAAATCTGTTATTTTCATTTTTGCAAAAAAGGTAAAGAGTTGTTTCGTTGTTGTTTTGGTTTCAGTTCCTAAGTTTGTACTAGCGACGAGAGGTTTAATGATATCAAGCATCATCTTACATGCCATGTGTCTATTACTGGCTATCCGGTTTGGATGTGTTCAACATATAAGTATACGCTCAGCCATAGTTTGTATCGTTCTACTTATTGTAGGATGTAAGTGATATTTACTGATTAACTTTCTTAGTGTATTAAATTGTATTTATAATATTCATTAATAGTTTTTATCATCACTCTTTTATGACCGACATTGTTCAAATTCTTGTAATAAATACAAGCTTCAAAAGTAACGGTCTGTCCCCGGATGATCGCTTTGTATCCAATTGGTCCACTTGTTTTGTTTTCTAAATTACTGCTGTTTCATTTGCAGGTATTCTTCTCCTAACGGCGATGATTGTATACGGGGTTAATAGTTCAAATTCACTGGTTACTCGCGGTGCCGCGTTCTATCTACCACTAGTGTCAACATCATTAGCAATTTTGAGTGCGTATTCGATTGTTAGAGCAAAACGAGCACTAGAGGAAAACCGTAATGGATATATAGCTGTGCAATAATTCTTAACACATTTGTGATTTGATCAGAGCTTATGAAGTACAACATTATTGACAGAAAACGGTAATATAAATTTAGGACAGCAGGTGGCGATCCCCCTATCTTTTACCGCTTGCCTCATACAATGACCATTATTAAGGGATATACTAGTTTGAGGCTTCCTGTCAGTCTGGCAACCTGTTTATCTGGCTGACTGAGTGTTCTTATTCTTATTCTTCATCATCTGCACAACCGTTTTACAACACTTGAAGGGAATAATGATGTTTACTTGTACAGATTGTAAGGCATTTATCTTGACTCATAAATGATATTTACCTTTAAGATTAATTGCATAAATTTTGCTCAAATGTGCTTATAGTGATGGTTTGTTATTAATGGATGTATTATATTCATACCATATTTGAGCAATCCAAATTTAACATTGACCTTTAAATACTTGACCTTTTTGAATTGTTGACCATTGTTTTTTATGTTAGTAGGACTTTGATTGTATCCAAAACGTTACTTATTTGCCAATTACCGGAACCATTCTTTCATCTGTTTTGATAATAAGCACAGTTATATTGAATAAGCATTTGTTTCGAAGTCAAATACTACTTTGTTTACAGTGTTCTACTTTTATGACAAATTATTTCACTTTATACTTTTTCAGGAAACAATCATCTTACATTTCTCTTAAACTACCAATTAAAAATTATAAAATTCATATTTGCACTTTCTAAAGATGTAAACATTTACTGGTTTCTGACGTATACTGTGCCTTTAAAGCATCTGTTGCCTCTTTTCTATTAGCGTCTGTGTTATACGCTAAATCCCTTAATTCATTTTGTCAAATGTAGCCACTTCACTTAATACATATTCGGCGCATCTGTCAGGACAAACAGAGGCGCTTCCCTTATTTTTCTTTCCTGCGTTTGAATAAAGGGTATGAGTAATTGTGTAACTGGACATATTTTGTGTAGAATACAAACACGAACAGTAGTCAGTTTAATTAATTATTGGCATATGCTAGACTTTAAGATTATTCAAAAATGCATAATGTGTCATTGCTACTTCGCTCCGCAACTAGTTAATAACACATGAAAGATGACACGTATTTTTTAAGAATACGTTACAGTTTTTCCTTTTACGTACTTCATTACTCAGTCTGTATAAATACTTTTTTAGCCTTCCACGGCCATGTTTCACCTACCAACTACATGAATTAACGCAACATAAATTTAAAGTCCAATTTTGTTTTAATTGTTAAAATACTTATAAACTAAATAACTTATTGGCCCATGCTGAAACTAAATCTAGAGTAATATACTGAAAATCTATACAAAAAATACAAAACAAAACAAAAATTATAGAATTTTAACGTAAGGAAAGAAAGTTTGAATTACTTTATGAAAGAGGTGGAAGTGACTTTGCCCTTTGAAAGATAAAAGCTATCTAATTATCCGTGAACACAAGCAATGAGATTGGCAAAACATCTGACTGATTTAAGCTGTCGAAACATCTCATGGTAGAATACAGAGAATATAAGGATATTTTCAAACTGATCCATTATTAAAGAAAGCATTATCAATAAATAAGAAAAGACATGAAAGCGTAACATAAAATCGTTAATCTTGAAATTACCCAAACTTTTAGAGGGCCAAATTTACACTCATTATGTTATGGCCTATACAGCATCTGGAAAAAAACATTATCATCAGTTGAAATTTAGAGAGAAATAACTTTATGGAATAAAAAATAAAATTGTTTAATAAACAATCAAAATCTGCCACAATACCACAACGCCTCTAAATTTTGAAACACAACTTGTAGTTCTCAGGAATAAGCAAACACTATTTACTAAAGATTTGAATTCATTTTATCTTTATCTAGAATAAATATCATGTAACAGCAAATGATAAAAATCTACAACAGTCTTGAGTTGGATAAAATGTGACCTATAAACAAAGGTATTTGGGGCATTTTACAAGAATAATATATAAATAACACATGGGTTTGTGGGTAACAGTAAAAATATCATCCCGAGGAAAATACTGTTACCCGAGGCGTAGCCGAGGGTAACAGTATTTTTACGAGGGATGATATTTTTACTGTTACTCACAAACCCATGTGTTATTTATTTTATTACCCCGAACAAAAATACTGTGATGATCTGAAATTGTCAACTAAATCTAACTGTAACAAAAATAAACCAAGAGTAACAATAACTAAACTGTCCTTACCTTTTAAGTTTTAAGTGTACTTTAGGCCTACTTGAGAAGTTTTCTTTTTCTTTTATTCTTTAAGCAAGTGATGATATCTACAAATCATAAACATACAATAAGCTAGGTTTTATTTAGAAAACAAAACACTAACCCATTTACACGGTTATGATCTGTGAAATCTGATCCTTCTGTTTCCAGAATATTCTTAGCATGGTTTTTGACAAAATAACGATGATATCCTATGTCTGTCCACCATATCTGTAACGTTTCACTGATTAAAATTGTTAAATAATCCTTTGTTGCATGCTTAAATCGTCTGCATGTTCCAGTTTGACACATAATTATTTACATTGCAATTACTTCCGTTGAAAACGGATGTTCACTTTTTGACTATTCAACAAAAAGATATTTTATACGCGAAAAGCACACCGGGGTGCGAACAACTAAATTTTATGAGTGCCATAGTTACTCCAGAGAAGTCGAAAATAAGAATGAATCGAGAGAAAAAAGGCGGCCATTTATTTAATTTAATTTAGAAAATAGACCACGTGACCAGATTTTATACGGTTAAAAAATACTGTTACCTATGTAACAGTACAACATTCTTAGTCACGTGGTACACTTGCATTAACAGTAAAAATAACTCCCAGAGGCCTATGGGAAATTAGCATTACGAAAAAAGTGAGGGGTAATAATATTAAATGTTTGTAATTCGGATACATACGACTGTAACAATTAAACAAGAGACGCTTCTTTTTCAGTTTTGAATTAAAAAAAAGATTAAGCAAAACATGCATTTGATATAATAACGTTAGTTATCGAAATTTATAAAATGCGTCGTTTTCATTACAATACTTTATCTCGTCGAATAGGAAGAAGTACACATTATATCATTGTTTACCTTCTTATTAAGTTATTTGTACGAGCTATAACAAATTTACACAATCTAAATTGTATGAACATTCATAACTGATAAAGTGTATATAATGCCATTAAATATAGGTATGTCTAAATTCTGAATATCATATTAAAATATGTGAATATTAACAATTGAAATCTTTTAAATTGAACATTGCTGTAATAATGCTTGATGTATACAATAATATAAGTTGTTAAAAAACATTTCATAGGGATAATATTAAAGTGAATTTTTACAGGACCAGATTTAAACTCACGTTTCTGCATCATGGTCTAGAACAAAAAAAAAACAACACTCGGGCAAAAAGTCTTCATCCAAAGCAATGCAATAATTCCTTTTGTTAAGCCTTTGGATTAAATATATCAAATGAGTGTCCATAAGTACAAGTTTAAATAAACATAAACAACAAAAAACAATGAAGTCAAGATGTAATATCAAACACTTTTCTCTGGTAAGTATCTTTTATATACAATACAAGTAAATATGTCATAAATTATCGTTGTGTTATGATAGTACACACGAACTTTTTCTTCGTCGTTTTCTCATCTGTTGTCGACACATTTCAACCTCTCTCTCATATCTTTGTCTATCTTTTTCCATCTCTTTAATTCTTTGTTCTTGCTCTTGTTTCAATCTTTGAATTTCTTTCTGCGCTGTTGCCTTTTCAAATTTCAATTTTTCTTCCATCAATGTCTGGAATTTTTTTCTTTCGATTTCAAGTTGCTGTGAGCGATCTTTCTCTAGTTTATCGTAATGACTCTGTAGGTCCTTTTTCTGTTTATCAAGTGCTTCCATCTGTACTTTCTTCTGTTGCTCTAACATTGTTTTCATTTTTTCTTCGTTGTTCTTTTGCTCATCTGAAAAAATACTTGTTTTTTTAAAATCAAACATGTTAAGGGTTTTGAGCTTTATAATACCTTTTTGAGGTTTTATGAAATAATTTATTTAAAGTAAAAATGTGTTATTGTAGATTTTCGAAAAATGGGTCACGCACAATGTCTGTTCACACGCATAAATATTGTTTGTCAACAGAAAACATGTTCTAGAACATAATACTGTGCTGCTTTTTTATACGTCCTAAGGGCGTGGATGGTATTTTGAACTTTCCAGTACCATCCATGAACATGCTATATAAAACCGTATAATATGGCTGCTTTGGCGTTCTTAAGAAATTCTTTTATTTTTCACTATTTAAACTTAACTGCTAAGTAATGATTTCATGTATTCGAATTTCGCTTTCGCTCTTTAGGGGGTACACACACAAGGGCCATACTGACCGAAAGGCTTCCAAAATTTCAATCCTTCAGGCATAAATACTCGTATATCTAAAAACTGTTATATTAAAAGGCATTTGTATCGTACCTTCTTTCTCCTTTTGTGACAGATCTTCATCAGCTTGGATGATCGTGGCTTCAATTTCATTCAAATGTTTAACAAATCCATGCCAGGTCCACATGATCTGTTTGATACAACAATAAAGATACAGTTGTTTATTTTCTTTTTCACTTGCTTTAAAGGTGTTTACTTAAAAGATTTGTTTTACATTTTTACAAAAGCAATGAATGAATATTTCGCAAAGAAAATATGATAAACAACATCAACAAGGAAAGGCGGCGTTCAATGAACGCAACCCCCAGAAATTCAGAAACTTAGCATGATTAAAGAGGATAAAAATCTGAAGAATTTTGATAAAGAGGGGTCATGATCCGTCCCAAGTGGTGAGTTATCTGTCCCTTTAAAGTGAGTTTTTTTCTGTGCTAATTTTTATGAGCCAAATATTCAAGTAAAATATTCCTGTTTATCATTTATTGCTTTATTTCCTTACATTTGCACGATATTCTAAATTTATTTTAACAGATTTTGATACATTAGTTTGTTATGTAAAATGATAGATAAACCATTGAATGAAGAAATGTTTTGTTTGCTCATTAGAGCATAGCAAAATATATGTTTGAATATAATTACTTTAAATATGCAATGGTTTTGAAAAGAAAATTGAAATGAAGTAAGATGACGGTAAGATTGGTTTTTTTGGTATCCGCTTTACAAAGTGGCATATCAAAGAATAGAAAAAGATCACTTTCAAGGAAAAAAAAACAACTAGGTTCGTGGCCGAGTTATTTAATTTTTTCAGGTATCATTCCCGTGGATTATGCAAAGTTTTAACACTATGTTCGGCCAGTTTAAATTTTCCTTCTCTGCACATGTAAGAAAAAAAGAAACTGTAAGAAACGTCATCAGGTTATTTTCCGATGCATTGAGTTTTAATTGTTTAAAACTAAGTATCTTGATCAAAGGTTACAGAGATGAAAGATCTATCATACGTTGTCGATAGACTAGATGATTCATGCGCTTAATCATGGCGGCTAAGCATATTCCATATAGCAGACGAATAGTGTTGACTACTTAAAGCATGTTTTCATTCTTTTCCAGCTTTTCGTTAAGATTTGTTTACGTTTACTTACTAAATAAACTCAAGATATATTTCGCCTCAATATATATTTATCTTTTAACATAAACATATACTTTATTAATGTATTTGCAATTAAATAAATGAATGCTAAAATACAATGGACATACACACGTATAAGATATTTCATTTGATTCTGAATAACTGCTTTATGTACCTCGTTATCCTTGTAATCCCGGAGATCACTTTCAAAGTCTTGCTTTAACCTATCAATATCACGTTGAAACTTTCGATATCCACCTGCAGTTTCATACACTTTATTTGCTATATTTTCTTCAAGATATTTCGCATAACCTTCTTTCAATTTCATTTCGCACATTTCCTTTATTTTGTCATCATTCGATTCTTTTATCTTATTCAAAAAGTTGTCCATTCTCATCTAAAAAGATACAAATAATTCTAAAGTTGCAATAAATAAAGTTATATTGTTATTGACTAAAGGTTTCATAATCATGTATATAAATATAATAAGTACATTTAGAATATTCTTAGTCTCTTACCTGGGCTTCATTTTCACATATGCCATTCTTATCATTAACAACATTCTTTCGTAGATAGTCAAGTGCTGTTTGCTGCGATTTTGTATATAATTGCCCCAACACATCAAAAGAGACGGGAAGAACTATCTCTTGCATTTGCTTTTCAAAGGATTCAACGGCAAGTTTTTGAATTTTAGCATTCTCAATTTTTGATACGGCTGAAAAGGCATCATCAACATCTGGAATTGCGCCATGTTTGATTGCCGTAACATAATGGTCTGCCAAAGTGACAAACACTGAAAAGAGTATAATATTTATATGTTTAACCTAAAAAAATGCAAGATTGTATAAAAAGTATTAAAACATATTAGTATCTACACGCTTTAGAGTTTGTAATATTAAAATAACAGGTTATAAAAATGGTATCAAAGAGAACGAAGTGATAAAGTCACACGACTTTTATCAAATAATATTTGCTTTAAGAGATGGGATAGTGAAATAACAGATTTGTAAAGAATTCTTTTTTTCTTGGTATTCCTGCACGATTTTGATCGAAAAGATGTGAAATAAATCGGCTTACTTTGTCCATTTACAGGTTTACTTGTTAGCAATTCCTTGGGCGGTACGCAGTAAATGTGCGATACAAAGCGAGAGGTGACATCTTTGAACCTGTCAGACAAATCGCTAAATTTCAATGTTTCAAGATTTTCAAGAACATCACCATCACCAGGCACAGGAAATGCGAAACACATGCGCTTCGGAAAGTATTTTCTGATGCATTCTCGTGGCTTGTTGAAATGTTCTGCTTTGCCTTTCTTGTCAGCTAAACTGAGCTCCAGATAATCATTATCAGATATCCTTTTTCCATCCTTCATCATTTTAAGACTGAAATCTCTCAAACAAAGAACGAAATCTGGCAGTATAAGTTTAAGTGCTTGGTTATTTTCTGAAGACTGCCCTCGATATCTGATATTCTTTGCCATTTCTGTGACAAATCTGTAAAATGTTAAGTTTGGTAATACACTATGAAATATTTTGAAAGATATCAAAACTGGTCACCCGTCAAAACCTTGTATGCTCTTTTAATACACTTGTTACTATATATAGTAACAAAATTGCCTATGATTTCAACTGATTATGAGTGTCACGTGACCTATTATGAGTTTGCGGCCCGGGGCCGAGAACTAGTTATCAGCCCGCAGAACATGTGCACGTGCACAAACTGAAACAATGACGTCATAAATTTACGTCATCAAACAGTTAACCGTAAAAGTGAAAGTAGGTTGTCAGCACGAATCGCTTTATTTCTGTTATGAGAGCTTAAGCGTATTTAGTACAAACACAATTTTGTTACTATTGAAATTTGAAGAAATAATACGACAAATTCATTACAAAAAAATGAAAATAAAACTTGCTTCTAGATTCTACTGCTTTGAACACACAAACAGTAAACGTCTCTGTACAGAAAAGTAGAAGAGTACAGTAGACAAGAATTTAAACGAAAGAACTTCAAATTTGTTTTTTTTTGTTTGTTCTTTGTTTTTTGTTTTTTTAAATGCTACTATTAGATCTACCAAGTGTATTAAAGACATTAAAACACGTCAGAGTAGGGCCGGAAGGTGATAATCGGCCCTGAATGAATAATGGCCCTCGGGCTAAAGCCCTCGGGTCCATTATTCATTTTGCGGGCCGATTTTCACCCCTCGGCCCTCTCCTGCCGTGTATTAACCTCTTATTACACACCTCGTACTTGTATTTTTCAATATTAATTAAGTCTGTTGATAAATTCCTTATTATTTATTATTTTATTATTTTAAGGAAAACAAAACCCCTTAAATACGATCATGATATAACTCACAACTACGAAAAAGGATACGTAAGTTTAGACACAGCATCATTATCAAAAGCTCCCTTCATATTATAAACCAGGCAGTTACACAGGAGCGCCGCTAATGTAAATATCTTGTTGTCATAACTTGCGTCGCCCTGTCAAATAAATTCATTCAATCATAATCTACTCCATTATCGAATTAACTATTAAACTCCCAAAGAATATATTATTTAAAAAATATATACTCGTGCATGCACTTGTAATAATATACAAGCCAACTGTGTATGTAAGTAAATTATAATAATAAAAGTTGAAACTTTACAAATGGTAAGTTTTGTATGATTTACTTTAGACAGTGCCTGGAATACACGGGTAGTTTGTTCTCTGTAGAAGCAAAGACTCTAATTTACGTGTTCTTTTACCCATGCAGCCAATCGCAAACACATTTATTTGCTTACATCTTTGCAAAGAGAATCTGTAAGAAACAACCCAGCATAATTTTGTAAAACGCCCTTGATAGGCTACTTAAAGGCTGAATGAAACACAAATGACGCCGTGTGGTAGACATGATCCAAGGGGTTTACACGTCGTACTGACGTCACCTGCAAATTTTGTGTGCACCGAAATACGCGTTGCACAATTTGTGACCACCAAAGACGTCTTTAGTTAATGTGTCAACATCTTACATATAATTAACAGAATACAAGCACATGAGAAGTTCATCTCCGTTAACGACAAAACAACTTCTTTTTATCGCTGAAGAAGTATTTCTGGCCTAAAAAGAATTTGTCCCTGATTGAACGGTTTTTTCTCTATTACATTCATCTATACGCCATGTGTTTCAGCAAAGTTATCATGTTGTATGTCTTTCTTAGTGTAGATGAAACAAACACTCATAAAGCCTCCAGGACACGGCTTACTTTTTTACTTATTGTTTCAGGTTTCTTCTCTACATCACTTACATTCGTTTATGAACATTTGGTTGTGTTTATGAACGATTCCATGACAGTTGTGCGATAAACGAGCTCCTTCGGCGGAGTTAGTGTTATATTGTTTAAAATATCTCCTCTTGTGGCAAAACAGCTTTTGTTATAGGATGCACGCTTAGGGCATCATGTACAATCAATAATTTGGTCTCACGTCCTTATATAAGTGATGGAATGCACAATGACACAAGCAACATGATGACGCTATTCCGCACGCTATGCGACATTCTCCGGACTCGATCGAGGACATCGTGAATAAATCACATGTAAAACACGTGATGAAAGAGATGAAGCGTTGCTTAAGCCGCCACCAAAATCAGCCGTTGATGTTATCGGACCTGTCACACACGCTTGTAAAAATATGACATTAGATCATTTTTCAGCACACTTGTCGCATTAATGAGAAGTCTTTGCCAAGCATGCACCAAATCAAACGATGGACAGACACGGTGTTTATTATATTTACTTTGTTTATAGAACGTCTGTGAAAACTGACCCCTATTAAAGTCATTGCTGATGCAGTTCCATATCAATTAAACTGGTCTTACATAAAGATCAGATCAAACCCTGTTGAAAATATTTTCTTAAAATTATATATTTCTGATAAAGTATATTCAGCTAACGCCTTAATGCTGTTTTTTCCCCAATATTGATTACCACATGAGAAATTGCATGCCGCAATCGTATTTGTTCAATTAATTTTTATATTGACACGTTAAACAACAAAAGTTTGATAGTGTACCATAAATTTGGTATACCTTTTCTACATCGCCAAGACCCTCTGTATCAAGAAGCAGCAAAACAGTGTTTGACTTTTCTGGATGAATTTTACACCATGCCCAGATGCCTTTAGTTGTTGATTCAATCGTATCACCCAATGCAAAACCTTTTATTATTATTATAAAAAAACAAAAAAACAAAATGGTAATAAGCTCATCTTCTGAGGATATTTTTAAATTTTTAATATGCATTTCCCTACATATATAAATTAAACTTGACTGTCATTTTTTAAAATGGAAATAATCAAATCCAATTATAGGCAGTAGATGTTTTTGAATGTTAACATTATTGACATATTAATATTTAATTGGTTATCCCTCTCTGTATTGTCAACAGTCATTAAAGTCTCCCTTCGAATAGTTTTGGTCACTTATGATGAAAGATGACTAGGATTAGTTACAATTCTGTGCGACCGTAACAACATAAAAGCCCTCTTGGTGCCAAACGAAATGTTGCATGAATGAAATAAACCTTTTGTTCGTAGTCATTAAAGCATTATTATATAATATTATAACTTTGTTACTACTCCTAACTTGGAATTAAAACAAACCTAATGAGGAAGGTTTAATGACAAATTAGGACTTTTAAACTCCGAATTTGGACAAAACACCCCCACACAAAACCCCATAATTTTGACCTAATTCCCCCTTATCAAAATGTTATGAGCTCATGATAGACCCTTTTACATACGATATTTCCATATAAACTGAAGTAGTACTTCACGTATGCGCATTCTGCTTAGGTCAAAAGGAAATAACGAAATAATACATATTTAATTTACCAGAATTCGACAACTTCATTAACAATTTGATCTAATCATAATAAGTATTCATCAGTAAAGAATAGTATAATTTGATAAATAACTATCTCATCAATGTTTGGAATTGATTTTGTAAAGTGATAAATAGGGTAGGATGCATTTACTTAGTTTTTGAAAATGCGTATTTTGCTGCACAGTTATGAAATTGTTCTTAACTCAAGACTATGTAAAATTAATAAAACATTGTTGACATCACAGTCAAATTTGATAAAGGATAAAATCAGACAAACTCAAAACATGTTCATGAACCATTATTATCACATGTTTAATTTCTTTTCTAGAAAGATAAATAACTTCGAATTCATTTGTCTTTAGTTCATGTAGATTTTGTTATCTGACCTTTTCATGAAGAATGAATTTGATCTCTTATCTTGATAAAAAATATATTTCTAAATGTTTTTGACAACAGTTATCTCAATGATTTTCAAGTCCGATGTAGTCGCAAAAGGAGTTCTTATTAAATATCGTTTTGATAATTTTAAGGCAATCTTGGCAAAAAAAAGCTTTAAAGGATATTTTTGCCATTTTGTTATATAATAAAATCTTTTTGATGTAATTCTTCTACCAACAACTTACTCTGAATTGTCTATGAATTTCTATAACATTTCTTTGTAGAGTAATCTTTTGCCCTACGCAGAAATACTACATCTGGTCAGTTTAGTTTCATAGCAACGAACCGCGTCGTTATACGGTGAATAAGGAGAAAACAGTTTGATTCGAACTTTCTTTATCTTATAAGGAGTTATCAAGCCCTAATTAGGCGAAATAATGTAACCTTTTTAGCGGGTAAAAAGTTATAATTAGGGTTTTTTCCCTCCTAATAAGGGTTTTTACATTCCTATATAGTGGTCAAAAACTCCTATTTAGAATTTTATTTCTTACATCCTTTTCGTTATAAAGAGTAAAAAATAAAAGTTGATTTATGTTCCATAACTAAAGTAAGAAACTTCTACTTTGGCTTTATTTGTCCAGAGTAGGCGCTTTAAAGTCCTAATTATAAAATTAATTTCCCTAATTTAGCTTTTTAAACTTCTTATTGTTGATTACTCGTCCAAATAAGGCTTGTATCCCTCATGTACAGACTCAATCAAACCGAGTATGCAATACTTATGTTATTTTGTTGTGATTAATGCTTCCGAGGGATCACTTTGTTTCCAAAATTTTGTACTTCACAACAGTAGGTTTCAAGTGTGTGTGGCAGCCTTAAAAAGTTGCCCCGTACTTCACTTCAGTGTTGTTATATTTTCTGGTTCTTCGGAATCATTAATGCAAACACTATAAAGTGTTGAGAATTGATTACCGCTCAAGCCGGTGCTAGGGGAAGTGAAGGGATGTTGCACTTATTCATTATCCCTCATGTACAGACTCAATCAAACCGAGTCTGCAATTCTTATGTTATTTTGTTGTGATTAATGCTTCCGAGGGATCACTTTGTCTCCAGATTTTTGTACCATATTTATAAGGATCTTAAGATGTATTGTAAATTTTTAAAAACACATGTCTTTACTTTTTTAAATGATAGATAAATTTTTGATATTTATTGATTATTTTTGAAACATCCAAAGTACTAAAGAAAATGCTATGTTGACATATATTTGATATACTTCTGTCTCTAAAAAAATGTATAATATATAGACAACTGAATATTTTATAACACATAGAGCTTTGGGAACAGTACCATACAAAAGTGACAAAAATCGTCATTTTTTAGTAGTGTTTAGTATTGCTCTAAGAATGTATCCATTCTTTTTTTACAGGTATTGACATTTTATCCATGTCTTCTCTGAAAACAAAACTGATTTTAGTTTATTTTCTTTCGTTTTTGATAATTTTTTTCTTGTTATCCTTTTAAGCTTCTTCATTTCTGAACTCCTGTTTGTATGGCTTTAATTATGTATGTAATATAAATGCCAATAAAATAAAATTACGCGATGTTATTTAACATAAAATTGTTTTACCTTTAGAAGACTGAGCTAAACGATTCATCAGATAGGATTTTCCAGTTCTGTACAAACCTACCACGGCTACAACAACTATTGGCCAATCTATCTTTTCTATTTGCGCGAATACTTCCTGTTCACTCTTTAAAATGATTTTTATTTCTTCACCCTCTTCATTGTGTACACTTTCAGAGCTGATCAAACACATAGGATGCTGGAATATCTCCATGTCATGAGGAGACCAATCGCTGTAAACCATTTTAATTGTTTTATAAGCATTACCGAAGCGATACATGTTGAAGAATATCATAATATTTCGTTCAGATATATTTTACACGATGATTCGTATATAAATAAATCAACGATTTACATAAAGAAATACTGCAGAAACAAACAACTAATACAGTTATGATATCAGTTTGAGTGGTTTATGTAACTATAGCTAAGATAAGCTTCATAAGCAGCGAAGAATACTTAACATTGTACAACAACTTTTCGCTCCCTTTATCTAATCTTACCGTTTTTAAAACATATATAAGGCGGCTAGAAATGTTTTAAACCAATTCTCTGTTTTGTATTTTTGCATGATTGATCTGTTAAGGTTGATTTCGAATAAAATTCTGCTTTGTATTGAAAGGATACGGACGAAAACTTCTTACCGGCTTGTTCTAGCAGAAATCTCTTCCATCTTTGTAAATAACTCTGCATCAAACTCTTGCTTATTCTGGAAGATTAATATCATGAAATGATTAACTTTTCATTTTTATAATTTTGATTTTTGTATTTAATGCCTATAGCGCTCTTAATAGTGGGTACTAAATTTACTTACAGAAGCACGAAGACGATTAACCGCTGGAGTTTCAGGGGCTAGGGTATCAATATGTTCCAGGGCTTATGCACAAAGGTGCATAAGCAATTTTCTTGCATCTGTTGCATAAATTTCACGTTTTGTTATTTGTTTCTTACAATATGGAAAACATATTTGCCATGTTTTTCACATACTTGTGCACTATTATTTATCAGTTTGGTCTAGATGGAAAAGAAACGTCCTAGCTATTTTTTCACAGCGCCCTGAGTCAAACGTATCAAAAATGTGCAAACACAGCGCGTGGCCGCATGGTTTTATTCATTTTTCCATGTTTTCTTCTCTGTATTACGGCGTGTGCAAGTTTTATTTAAAATTTCTTTATACTAATGTTCCCATTACAACTTTTCTTGTCTTTTTAGCTAATGCAAAGGTAAGTACTATAATGATAAAATATAGAACGCCTGGACTGTTTTATGTGTACAATGACTGATATACCTGGTTAAATGTCATTCTTATGAGTCCGAGATACAAAATGCTGGCTCGAAATCCCAATATGCTGGGTCGAAATCCCAATGTGCTCAGCTATTGAAGTGTTATGTCGGGTGCCGAATACATTTTCTTCAGCCAAGTGAATGTAGTGTCGGCTGCATTAGTCGTTAATGTTCAGTTCTTAAACCCAAAAGGCATGTGGTAACACAATTATGTTGAGTAAAAAGAATATAATGTGAGGTGTTACAGTTATTATGTTAGGTAATTATAATGCTGTTTGATGCTCTTCTTATTATGTTCAACCATGAAAACAAAGTGGTACTATTATTTTATTTAGCTGAGTCAGTGTATTATTGGGTGATACTTTAATTATTTTCAGTTGCGATTATATACTGTTGGGTGCTTTATTCATTCTGTTCAATCATGAAATAGAACTGTTAAATGGTACTATCATTATCTTGTGTGCTGATTATATCTTCTTCAGTCAAGTCAATATGTTGTTCGGTGAAAAAGCCATTATGTTCAATTATTAAAAAGAACTATTCCTTGGTACTTTCATTATGTTCAGTTAAGATGATATACTGTTCGGTGCGGATGCTATTATGTTCAGTGGTGAACTGATATCGTCATTATGTTAAGTTCAGATGGATGATATACTATACAGTGTCAACAGGTTGGCACTTTGTACTTTCGGTTTCTACAACTATAATATTAAATATACAAATAGTGTATTGTTTGCTTTTGTATCTATGAATTCACTTTCTTAAGATGTGCATTTACATGATATATTTGAGAAAAACTTGCCAACAGTTCCCAATATTAAATTACTATTAGATGAGATCGAAATACTGTATCCGTTCTGTGTATTCATACTACTGTGTTCGAGGTCCTTATCCGCAGACCAACGGAAAGGGCCGAAAAGTTGCGATTGAGATGTTTGACCCGAAGATATCCGAATGTACCCAACATAATTGTATGACCACTCAGCACAATGTCAAATGAACCAATAACATTAAGTAGACTAAGCGTAACAATTGCATCACATACAAGCATTATAACATTACTGCCAAACAACAAACTATCGCACCTTATTAAAATGATGTTATCATTCAGCAGTTCATATTTACGAGTAACCACACAAGAGCACATTACTCCACCTTAACATAAAAAACGACATTACAACATATTATTACAACTGAACAATATGATGTCAACACATACTAGTTCATTTACATAATTGAACATAATGTCAGTTGTACCCAACAGCATATCATTTCAACTGAACGTAATGATATTTGACCGTACAGCATTTCATCTGAACTTAGCATAATGACGGTATCACACAACACTTGTATTGTTCACTGCTGAACATAATGTCCTCTGTACCGAACAGTATATCATCTGAACTGAATAATGATAGTAAACAGTTCATTTCAATAACTGAACATAACGACCTTTGCAGCGAACAACACATTGACTTGACTGAAGAAGATATAATCAGCACGCAAGAAAATGATAGTGCCATTTAACAGTTCTATTTCATGATTGAACAGAATGAATAAAGCACCCAACAGTATATAATCGCAACTGAAAATAATTAAAGTATCACCCAGCATATTGTTTCTCAGACTCAACAGAATGACATTTAACCAGGTATATCAGTCATTCTTAACATAAGGCAGTCCAGGCGTTCCATAATCAAAAGTTTCTGTATACTCTTGATAGCGAGCTCGAAGGGCCTAGCGAGCTTTACGGTAACGCGAGTACCTGCTAAAAGTGATGGTTTTAAAAACTTTTGTCCGAAGTACCGAGTTAACACATCACAACTTTTCGAATTACAAGATAACGATAAAAACCGAGGAATTCTGACCGAAAACGGATGCGTTGACTGGTCACCCGCGCACTTCTTTTGGAAACATAATTGGAAGGGAAACCAGAATAAACGGAAGCAGAGTATAAAATACCGATGACAGTTTTAAAACGGAAAATGTAAAATGAAAATTGAACGAATATACTTTTTACGGTAAAGGGAAATCGATCTCGCTTTGAGGCTTTGCCTTTTTCATATTAATATAAAGCTGCTTATTAGACAATTCAAAACACCTTGCTTCATTGACATCCAATGATTGATCGTTGTTTACAGTTGGCGGGTTTTAGGATGCCAAAAGGTTTTAATACAATTCCATTTTATTTAGTTCCGCCCATTGTTTTCTCGTTTAGGGCACACACATTCTTTTACTTGGGGACCATACGCCGCTTTTCATGGAATGACACTACTGTGTCACATTGAAGGTTCCATGATAACCGCCGTATGAACACATCTGCGGATGTTTCTAAATTCAAAATTTCACCATTTTTGTGTTTAAATGTTGAATTCTGCTTAAGCCGGTGCTAGGGGCGTGGACGGTAACTTGCACTTTCCAGTACCGTCCATGAACAGACTCAATCAAACCGAGCCTGCAACATTTTACAATTTTGCCGTGTTGGGCTTTCTTTAGGGATTCTGTTTTTCTCTATTTTAATGTAAAAATAAACTATCAGCTTATGTGTAAAAATTTGTTTTTTGTACAGTTATGTTTACTTATGTGTATTGACAAGTATAATTGTGACTTTAAAACGTCCTTTTGCTCTTTTACATATTGTACAAAATATGGATGTTAAATTTATACACGTACATTGTTTTTCTATTTTTTCAGTTAGTTTTTTTACAGGAATCGCATAAAAGTACATGCACTCATTCAAGTTAATGTATAAATTGATTTAATCTAGACACTGTATCTTCTTTTATGTTTAAAAGTATTTTGGTATCCAAAATGAATACCATTAGAGGAAGCGTCTCTAAATTTCTGAATTTTAAAATGATAAAATAACGCTACACCTTCGGTTTATGCTTTCAAATTTAACATATATCAACAGAGGAAATACCTGTTAGTTCTTTCTGTAGCTAAGATTGGAGGAGAAACTTGACTCGACGTTGAACATGAAACTAGAAAAAAATGAATAATTAAAACTAGTATTGAACTGAGCAGAAAACAAGAGCTGTTACGCAAAAGTGAAGAATATCCCTGCTATACTTTGTACGTATTGCAGAAAGGTATTACGAATTGAAAAAAGAATAAAACAATTAAGTGCATAATAGTGTTTATCTGAATAAAGCACTATTAATAGCCGATTTACTACCTTGTCCTTGGAGGTAAGGGCCAGGGTCTTAGACGTAACACGTCGTCCGAGTATACTAAAGATTTGTGCCAAGTTACTTTAATTGTTTCAATACATTGACAAATACAGTCCGGACACGAATTTGTACCTTAAACCTTTAAGTATGACCTTGACACTTAAGGTAGTTATATGGGCCTTAGACGCGACACATTGTCTTGTTGTGGTAGACATTTGTAGACATTTGTGGCAAGTTAAAATCCTTCAAAGTATGACAAAGTTACAGTCCGGATACGAGTGTGTACCTTCAAACTCTTCTTTCGAGAATGAATACATTCAAACTTAAAGTGTGACATTGACCTTGGAGGTAAGGTCATGGGTTTTGGACATGACACGTCGTCGTGATGTGGTAAACATATATCCTATGTAATTTAAAAACCCTTCCATGCATGACAAAGTTACAGTGTGGACATGAATGTATGTGCCGTTAAACTACAACTGTGTGAATGTGAACCTACACACTGTAAGTGTGACCTTGATTTTAATAAGCCGTCCTCTGGGGGCACAAAATTGTGAAAACATGAACAAAGTAAATGTTTACCATGCGTGCAATTAATTATTAACTTTGAAATGATAAATCTCAACACATGATAAGTATTATATTTAATCGACGTTTTGTAAATGTTCCCTGAGCTTTCTAAAGTGACTGCTAGTGTTTGAAAGATACACACATAAAAGATTAATATTGAGTTATTTTTATTAATACCCAAAAAAGATTTTAAAGGCTTATATAATTGACAAAACCGTTAGCATGACATTTTAATAAGTTTGTTAAAAAAAAGAAAACAACCTGATTGTGATTGACGGTTACTTCTTTTTTTATTGTCTCTTTCGGTCTCAGAAGACTTCAGATCATTCAAAAGAAAATATAGAAATATACATTGTATCAATTATGAACATACGCCTTATTTCCATTAAAAAATTATTATTGCCATTATATCAGTCAATTTAAACTTAATAATTATTATTTGATTCATAATTGAAATTTAAAAAAGAGCAGCATCATATAAGATCAACTTCCTCTGATAAAGATAATATAAATAGTGAAACAACTAAAAAGTGTTTGTATAAATGATGAACATCAATTTGGTAGGTAGTTGGATATTTGAATAACCAACTACCTACTAAGTGGTATAGTTGGTGATTTGTCATTCCAAACTGTTTAACAGCTGGTAATTTGTAATTCAATCCACTAATACCAGCATGAAATGTTCAAACACTTCATACATCTTTAAACACAGAATAAAAGAATGGACCTAACTTTCTACCAGCAGGTTGTTGGTTATTCGAACTTTGCATGTTATATCCTCAAAACAGTAAGTTCTTTTTCTGGAATAAATGTAACGGATATATAGGAAGATAAATTTGTTCTTCCACACTGAAACACTCTGTCTCCCTATATTCGCCAGGAGACTCAGTTGGTTATTTGCAAAAGTTGTATTTCTCTAAAATCAGAAAATATTTTTTTCAGAATAAAAGTAACAGATATATAACAAGACAGATGAATTTGAGCAAATGGTATCACCTCGTCTCCCTAGGTGGACCAAGAGACTCAGTTGGTTATTCGCGCGAATCCCCAACTACATACTAGAAGGTAGTTGGTAATTAGGATATTGCATATATTCGTCTGAAAACAAAAATACTTTTTCATAACAACGTTTACGGTTATATAACAAGATATGTGTTTTTATGCTCCCCGAAAAATTTGTCCGTCCGTCCGTATTTCCGTCCGTCCGTCCGTCCGTCCGTCCCCTTTTCTTGTCCGGGAGATAACTTTGAAACAACAAGAGGTATCAACATGACACTTTGTAGGTAGATAGATCTCATTGAGTAGGTGTGCAGTGCACAAGAACCGTAACTCTGCCTTGCCTAATTTTTGAATTATTCCCCTTTGTTTATTTTTACACTTTGAACTTTGTCCGAGACATAACTCTTAAAAGTATAAGAGGTATTAACATGACACTTTGTAGGTAGATAGATCTCATTGAGTAGGTGTGCAGTGCACAAGAACCGTAACTCTGCCTTGCCTACTTTTTTGAATTATACCCTTTGTTTATTTTACACTTTGAACTTTGTCCGGGACATAACTCTAAAAGTATAAGAGGTATCAACATGAAACTTTGTAGGTAGATAGATCTCATTGAGTATGTGTGCAGTGCACAAGAACCGTAACTCTGCCTTGCCTTATTTTTGAATTATCCCCTTTTGTTTACTTTACACTTTGAACTTTGCCTGGGACATAACTCTAAAACTATAATAGGTATCAACATGAAACTTTGTAGGTAGATAGATCTCATTGAAAAGTTGTGCAGTGAACAAGAACCTTAACTCTGCCTTGCCTAATTTTTGAATTATCCCCCTGTGTTTATTTTTACACTTTGAACTGTGTCCGGGACATAACTCTAAATGTATAAGAGATATCAACATGAAACTTTGTAGGTAGATATATCTCATTGAGTAAGTTTGCAGTGCACAAGAACTGTAACACTGTCTTACCTACTTTTGGAGTTATTGCCCTTTGTTCATTTTGACATTTTGAACTTTGTCCGGGACATTACTCTAAAATTATAAGAGATATCAACATGAAACTTTGTAGATAGATAGGTCTCATTGGGTGGAAGTGCAGTGCTTAAGAATCATTACTCTGCCTTGCCTTATTTTGAAGTAATTGCCCTTTGCTTATTTTTACCTCTTGACTTTTGTCCGAGACATAACTTTAAAACTATTAGAGATATCAACATGAAACTTTGTAGGTAGCTAGATATAATTGGATAGAACTGCAATGCTTAAATAACCTAAACAAAGCCTGGTCTAATTTTGGAGTTATTGCCCTTTGTTCATTTTTACACTTTGAATTTTACCCGGGACATAACTCTGATATCATCAGGAAACTTTATAGATAGATAGATCTCATTGAATAGAAGTGCAGTGCAAAAAAAGAGACTCCGCTTTGCCTAATTTTGGAGTTTTTGCCCTTTGTTCATTTTTTTTATACTTTCCTGTGTACAGAACCTTCTCGGGGAGCATCACCCGGTTCAACCGGTTCTTGTTTATAATATGGTAACACCCTCTTCAACATAAATCGACCTGCGGACTCAATTGGTTATTTGCGTGAAACTAACAACCAGAAGGTACCGGTAGTTGGTTATTGGAACATTACATGTATTTCCTAAAAAGAGAAAATACTTTTTTTCAGAATAAAAGAAACAGATAGTTAGATGAATTCTTTGACCTTGACCTTTGACCTAGTGACCTCAAATCAATAAGAGTCATCTACTAATCATGACTAGCCTCCATGCCAAATATGAAGACTGTGGGTCAAAGGAATCTAAAGTTATTGGACGGACAAGGTTTTTTAGTCAAGGCCCCCGTGACCTTGACCTTTGACCCAAAAATCAATAGGGGTCATCTTTTAATCATGACTAACCTCCATGCCAAATATGAAGACTGTGGGCCAAAGGAATCTCAAGTTATTGGGCAGACAAGCTTTTTAAAGTCAAGGCCCCTGTGACCTTGACCTTTGACCCAGTGACCCCAAAATCAATAGGGGTCATCTACTAATCATGTCTAACCTCCATGCCAAATATGAAGACTGTGGGCCAAAGGAATCTCAAGTTGTTGCGCGGACAAGCTTTTTTAAGTCAAGTTTCCTGTGACCTTGACCTTTGACCCAGTGACCCCAAAATCAATAGGGGTCATTTACTAATCATGACTAACCTCCATGCCAAAAATGAAGACTATGGGCCAAAGGAATCTCAAGTTATTGGGCGGACAAGCTCTTTAAAGTCAAGGCCCCTGTCACCTTGACCTTTGACCAGTGACCCCAAAATCAATAGGGGTCATCTACTAATCATGACTAACCTCCATGCCAAATATGAAGACTGTGGGTCAAAGGATTCTCAAGTTATTGAGCGGACAAGCTTTTTAAAGTCAAGGCCCCAGTGACATTGACCTTTGACCCAGTGTCCCCAAAATCAATAGGGGTCATCTACTAATCATGACTAACCTCCATGCCAAATATGAAGACAGTGGGCCAAAGGAATCTGAAGTTATTGGGCGGACCAGGAAAAACTGACGGAAGGCCGGACAGGGAGACGTCCGGACGGCCGGACGAACAAGCTGATTCCAGTATACCCCCCTTACAACTTCGTTGTGCGGGGGTATAAAAATTGTTCCAATAACCAACTACCTTCTGGTTGGTAGGTAGGGATTCACGCGAATTAACCAAATGAGTCTGCTGGTCGATTTATGGTGAATAGGGTGTTACCATATTATAGGAACAATCATAATCCGTTATATAACCGTAACATTTGTTTTATAAAAATACTTATTGTTTTCAGAGGAATATATGCCATATCCAAATAACTAACTAATTTCAAGTATATAGTTGGGGATTCGCGCGAATAACCAACCGAGTCTCTTGGTCGACGTAGGGAGACGATGTGATACCATTTGCTTGAATGTATCTCTCTTGTCATATATCTGTTACTTTTTTTTCTGATTTTTATTTCTTTTATTAAGAGAAATACATGTTATATTCCAATAACCAACTTCCTTCTGGTTGGCAGTATGGGATTCACGCGAATAACTAATTGAGTCAACTTGTCGATTTATTTGAAAGGGATGTAACCATTAATTAAAAAAAAACAAATATATTTTTTATATAACCGTAACATTTGCTTCAGATTTTTTTTTGTTTTCAGACGAATATATGCAATATTCGAATAACCAACTATCTTCTAGTAGGTAGTTGGTTATCCACGCGAATAA